TATATATATATATATATATATATACATATATATGCTCATATACATATATGTACATATATGCGTACGTATACGTATATTTATATATGTATATATATTTACTCCTTTTATGTACATATATGTATATATAAATATATATATATATTTATAAATAAATATATAATTATTTATACTTTTATATTTATACAAAGAATAAATAAATATATAAGCAAAACAAACAAAGAAAACAGCAGATACATATATACATATAAATATATCTTATACGTATACTGTATATTTATATACATATACATATACATATACATATATATATGTATAATATATGTACATATACATATATATGTATAATATATATACATATATAGCACAGCAGCACAAAAGGAATTTTAAAGGTATTCTAAACCCTAAACCCTAAACACCAAACCCTAAACCCTAAACCCTAAACCCTCGAGGTTGAAAATCCTTCGGCAGCCACCTGGTGTATATACACAAGAAGACAAATAAATTGTGTATTATAATAAAAAATATATAATAAATTAAATAATATTTATTTTATATTAATTAATTAATTAAAGGCAAAGAATAACAGCAAATGAATTCATCGTAACACCAACAAATACACCGCAGTGTGTTAGGGTTTAGGGTTTAGGGTTTAGGGTTTAGGGTTTGGTATTAAGGGTTTAGGGTTTAGGGCCTATTGCTTGTACTACGAATATTATTAATATTATTAAAGAAAAACTAAGAGAAAAACAAACATATTTCCTTAATATTTACCTCTGGGCCAATGGTCGCTGCTGCTGCTGTTGCTGCAGCAGCAGCAGCAGCAGAAACATTCAGGTGTATAGGCACCTCCAAGGTGTCTTTATGCAAAAAATTAAATTATTTAGCAATTTAATTCCTTAACATTCCTTTTTTTTTGTTAATTAACAACAATATTTGTTGCTGTGTTGCTGTCTTGGACAAGAGCAGCAACAGAGCAGCAGCAGCAGTAACAGCAGCAGCAGCAGCAGCAGTAACAGCAGCAGCAGCAGCGAGTTGCGGGGTATGCGTGTGTGTGTGTGTGTGTGCCTGTCTGTCTGTCCGTTATTAAATAAAATAAAATAATAAATAATTATTTTTTATTTTATTTATTATATAATAAATAAAAATATAAATATATAAGGAGTGCTGCAGCGCAGCATTCCTAGAAGCAGCAGCAGCTGCTGCTGCTGTTGCTGTTGCGGCAGCAGCAGCAGCAGCAGCAGCCGCTGCTGCTGCCATCTCTTTTGCCTTTATTTTTGCATTTTTGACTCAATTGACAAATAAATATTCTTTCTTCTTTTTTTTGCATGCAGTCCCCCCCTTTTCCGCTGCAGCAGCAGCAGCAGCAGCAGCAACGACAACGTACCCCTCGCCAGATGGCGGACAGCAGCTGCGGAAGCAGCAACACCAATGGCAAGCAGCAACAGCAGCAGAAACAGCAACAACAGCAGCAACAGCAGCAGCAACAGCAGCAGCAGCAGTCCCCCTCCAGCTGTGCATACACCCCACAGGGGAAAAACCGCCGCCGACGCAACAAACACCGCAGCCGCTGCCGTGCATCGCCACAGCAGCAGCAGCAGCAGCAGCTGCAGCAGCAGCAGCAGAAACAGCAGCAGCAGCAGCAGCAATCTCAAGACAATGTCAATGATGTACAGAATGCCTCGAGCGGCGAATTGTCTGCCGCTGCTGCTGCTGTCGCAGCAGCAGACCGTGCTGCTGCTGCTGCTGCAGCAACAGTAGCTGCTGTTGTAACTGCAGCAGCAGCAACAACTGCAGCAAAAACAGCAGCAGATGGATCAATGGAGGGGGACACATCAGTACCCATCCCCCGCAGCAGCGCCAGCAGCAGCAGCATGTACAGCAGCAGCAGCACAATTAGCAGCAGCAGCAGCAGCAGCAGCAGCAGCAGCCACGACGACCATGCAGCTAGCCCTCATTTTGGTGCATCTGCAGCTGCATCCCTTTCTCCTTCTGCTTCTGCTGCTGCATCTCTTTCTCCTGCTGCTGCTGCTGCTGCTGCTCCTTTTGCATGTTCGGCTACAGTTGCTTCTCCTGATTCTGCTGCTGGTGTTAGTGCTGCTGCTGCTGCTCCTTCTCCTGCTGCTGCTGCTGCTGCTGCGAAAAAGGGAAGGCGGCGCAGGGGACGAGCTCAGGAGCAAACACGGAAGCAAAGACAGCAGCAAACGCAGCAGGAGCAACACCCCGACCAGCAGCAGCTGCAACAGCAGCAGCAGCTGCAAAAGCAGCAACAGCTGCAACAGCAGCAACAGCTGCAACAGCAGCAGCAGCAGCAACACGTGGAGGGGCGGGCATCGCAGCAACAGCCGCGGAAGAAACAAGAACCCCCAGACAGACTCAATGAGCAGCAGCAACAGCAACAGCAGCAACAGCAGCAGCAGCAACAGCAGCAGCAGCAACAGCAGCAGCAGAAACAACAACAACAGCAGCAGCAGCAAAAGCAGCAGCGCCACCGGCATCAAGGGGGACAGCAGAAGAGAGAGTCTCCTC